AATGAATAACAGAGATCTATGATGTCTTGAAGTAAATATGCTGCAAATTGCAGAATTTTCTTTTCAAAAGCCACTTGAGCTTACTTCCTGGTCAGGGTGGATAAAACTGTTCTGAGTAGAATAATCTCATTTAAAATTTTATTTAGTTGACAAGGGAAAGATATGCCAATGCATCTTGAAATCAGTGGCTTTTTAATGTTAGACTTGTGCAAAATTGCACCCTCGATGCAAATATAGTCTGTGAAGTAAATGATATTGAATTGGTGTACTTCTCCCTGTGCTACACCACTTACATCTTGCCATCCAATCCTGCTCATTCTGAATGGCTCTGGCAGCAGTGTTCCATTAAGGTATCTTTTATATAAATGTTTTGAAATCCCTTGCCAGATTATTTGAATTTTTATCTTCTTAGGTTTCATACACACTATGATGAAAAATGTCTTTGTTTTCATTATCTTGCTTGTAAACAATTAAACAATATATAAAGAAGAATAAATTTTATTTTCTCGTTGGTCATGAAATGTTGTGTGTTTGATTTTTTAAACTACAGTATTTTACATGTAAATCTGGTTGATGTTGATTAGCATAAAAATAAGTTAAGATTTCTACTATGTTACTATTAAGGTTGGCTTTAACAGGACAAATTTATCTAAAAAATAAACAGGACTGAAAGATAAAGAAAAATGCAATAATTTAGTATTAATAAGAGAACAAATGTAAAAATTAAATATAAAAGCAGAATAAATCACTAGATATTCTAATAAAATCAGAGCAGTCACAAAGTGCATGATGGCATTCTTCAGGAAGTTGTTGAAATATTAAATTCACACAACTTCTATTTGTTTCATATAAATTATGAATAAAATAAAACCAAAGTCAATTCACCTAGCTTGCTTAATATGATATAAAGATGTTCCATTTCCTGTTTGCCATGGGCATATTCTCATAGTGGAGCCTCAATCTCCCACGTTTGACCTGGGCTGAAGTTTGGGGTGGGTTCCGGCAGCTAATACTGCTGGGTTGCTTGAGGCCATGCCACCTACGCGCACTTGACATGCACTGCACCTGCATGATGCAGGCTACATGTGCATGTATGCTGCATGCGCATCCGCAGTGCAATAAAAATTGGTCTGTGTGTGCACAGAAGCAAAAAACAAGATGGCAACACCTATGCCGCCACCTGGAAAACTGGTTCAGTGGGTGGCAGGCCTAGGTCACTGCCGGTTCCAATGACCCAGGCCGCCAAACCACTACCGGTTCGGCCAAACCTGTCCGAACCGGTAGGAACCCACGTCTGGCTGAAGCCACTTACATATTCCTACTTGTAAGTTGCAAAGCTAATTCTGAACATGTTGCATTATCTTCTAGAGTAGGCTTTTGAATTAGTTACCATTATTAGTTATATAGACCCTGGCAATTGACTTTTTGAGACAGAGAAAGGGCAGCTAGAATATACTTTAGACTTCCAAAATTATTGCTCTCAAAATATTGGGGACAGGATCGACAACAAAGAAATGATGTGAAGGAGCTACGTTAACTGCATCTTATTGTTCTTCTGCACCTTGATCACAGATGGTCTAAAACTTTCTACACAGCATACTGAAATGAATTTCTTGCAAGCTTTTGGCTTCTGAGGTTTTTATTGCTTCTTTTGCTACACTGGGATTCCACAGAACAAATACTTGGCAAGACAAGCAATATTATATTAAAACTATCAGTAGAACCAAGACGTCTGGCCAGAACTGAATCATTGGAATTGTAAAGTGCTGTGATTTCAGCACAGAAATGCCAGCTGTTTCACTCATCTCAAACAAAGTTCAGGTATTTTCAGCCTTCCCTTAAACTTTGTGGCCCTTTGTTTTCTTGGGTCTTAAACCTTCTTATACCAAAGCAGCTGAAAATATACCCATGTCCATGCTCTCTTGGGAACTCACACAACTGAGCTTAAACCAAAGTCTGGTCTTACCCATCTGTGGGGCCAGGACTCATTTTCACCTTCCTGATAATAGTAGGAACTTCTTTTCAGGAGGAAAAACACAGGTGAGATGCTTGTATCCTATTGATAATACATGTTCTGTAAATAC